TTTAGCTCACTGGTTTGATTTAACCCTTTGGAAATGTTGACATGCAATTCCTTTCATACTCAAGCCAACACCCACATTTTACCATGGTCCACTTTTCTAAATGCAACCTTGGATTGGATATACCACATTACCTTTCACTTTACCTAACCTGTAGTAATTGATAATTTCTCGATCATCTGTTGTGAACTCAAGATTATTTGTGTATGAGGTCAACCAACGAAGGTGTTGGTCCAATCTTGTTTCTTGGACAAGAGTTTCCATAATTCCGGGTAATAATTGTCAAACCTATACAACTAATGTAGAATCTAGCTATCTTTTAAAAATAATAAAGAATCCATTAATTTGCTTTACATATCTATTCAAGGATAAGCAATAAAAATTTATATATAATATTTTTATCAATAAATATTTAATAGTTACTTATATGTTTATATGTGAATAAATACATATTTTGTAACTGAGGAGGTGTTATTATGGGGCTAGCTAAGCTTGGGTAATGAATGGGTTGCTGATCAATGGCTTTGGTGGACCAAAAGATAAAGTAAAGAAAAAGAACAAGAGGCGAGAGAGGAGTGTGTTGATTCATGCATTAGGATTTATGGAGGAAACAAGGGAAGCCAGACAGGTGGTTGTCCTATTAACTGTATAAGCACCAACATTATGTACTGAAACAATAAACAAACAAAGCAGTGCGCAGATGGAGAAAAGTGGGGCTGTCCTGATTAAGAGGGTTAAGAAAACAATGTCTAAGAGAGAGAGTCGTAATTGCCGTGTAGGTTTGTAATATTATCATAAAAAGACTAATTAAAAATTAAGATAATAGAGTAATGGGTAGATAGGAGAGAAAGGATATCATCTAGCTATAGCCGACCCTCTTATTGGGACAAATTGTGTGATGCCATTCCAAGCACTCTCTTTCACATTTCCTCTCTTTTGCTTTCCTTTTCTCCTTTTTTTTTTTAGTGCCTTCTCTCTTTCTTTGTCACACTCTTCCATTAATTAAAGTTAGAAATCGTTCTTGGTTTTTGGGGAAGATCACCCAATACCCGCTTCCATCTTTTTCTTCTTTGTGGGATATTCACTCCCTAACCTTAAATTAAACAACAACCCATTTTTCACCGCCACCGTTAGATACACCAAATCACCTAGTCCTTTTTATTCGTAAACAAGTTAATAATAATAGTAATACAAAGTGGAAGAAATCAAGAAAAGAAATAACTCATGTTTATCATCCAAATTTTTTTAGAACATCAATCATGGAATCAAATCACCATCAATTCTAGACTTTTTCCTTAATTTATACACATAAAAAGAACCCTCCAGTTATAGGTTTGCATCAATTATTCATAAATCTTGACTTGAAATCTTGATACTAACCTACCCATATCATTTTCGGGGGGCTCTGGCCGACCAACTTGTTGAGGATCTGTAATTACTTCTTAACAACCTTTGGCGTTCACTGTATTTATGTTTTCACAAGATGCATGTTTAGAGTAATAATATTTACGTGATCTCAGGCATACTTATTTATCATATTTAATAAATGACAAGTATTAATTAGCAATATAATTTTTAAGGAAAAAATTAAATAAATCTTTTAATGTTGAATTTTCACATGATTTGGTTATGTGAAATTTTTGCATCTTTTTCTTTTCTTATAAACATTCCCAAATTTTAATAAATATTTTATGTCATGACCTATATATTTAATGTGTATGAAAGAGTAATCGATATAAAACCTTCACATGAATATGTTGTTTCAAAATTTAACTTGAAAAGATATATTTTCCTAATATATGTTTAATTACTTTTTTACTTTTTGGGTCATTTTCAGATTTTTAACACATAAATTAAAGAACAGATTTAATGATCTCCTTTTCATTAAATTTGCCATTAGATTTCCATTATATCTCTTTATCTCTTTTATTTGATTTATTTATTGATTTTAAGTTAAACATATAATTGATAAAAATTTATTAATGTTGTTTTGAAATTTTTAAAGTGACAAATAAAAGAATAAAGTATTAACTAAAGTTTACTGGACTTAAGTTAAACAAATTATGCGCATCTGATTCTTTATTTTATGAATGTCACGAAAAATACTGTGAATCTAAAAAAATTATTTAATAATATATAACATATTATTAACATTTTTTTAAAAAAAATTATTTGATGTGTTTTATTTTCATGGTGAGTGAATATAAAAATAAATCAAGTAACTCGTTAAAAGTTTATGACCGACGTTACATTAGACATAGGTTAGACTTATTTATTAAATATGTTAAGTTAATATTTTATAAAAAAACTTATTTTTATAAATAAATTCAAATTTTGAGAAATAAATTTTTTTAATTTAAATATATATAAATTGATAATATTATACAGACATTGCTATTATTATATTTTTAGATTATATACTATTTTTAAATAAAATTCAAAATTATTAATCTTTTTGAAAAAAATTAAAGTATTATTCTAAAATATATATTTAAAAAGAATTTTAAATTGTGTAAAACTTTTTAAAAGGTCTTGTCAAGCCTTAAAAGTAATCCAGATTAAGTAAACAAACTAAACTTTTACCTCTAATTTTAAAATCAATGCAGTTTCAAGAGTTGTCAACAAATTATTTTCATTCCTATTAGTGTGATTTTATTTAAAAAGCCAGTAGACAACTACAATTTTGTGAACTTAGTTTTTTATTTTTTGGCTTTTTAATGAACCTTTTACTTAATCTTTCTTTTAATTTAAAAATAATTTCTCTTAATATAAACAGTACCCCGTCCCTCAAAATGAAGAAAATTAATCATGGATAAGAGTGAATATTCGGTATAACCCTAGCTATCATTATTTATTTTAAGAGTAAACTATACTTCTTTTAGAGACTTAAATTACACTTTTTTCTTATTTTAAAAATATATATTTCCCTTCGGAAAAAATAATGTGAGCTACACGTCTTTTTTATTTTAAATATAAACAAACCTTTAAATGTTGGTAAATAAATAAGAAAGCGACTTCTAATGATTTTTTTTTGTTTTCTTATTTTATATCATCAATAATTAATTTTCAACATCTTATTATTAATTTCAATATTCTAATAAGTAAATGAAAAATTAACTTTTTTAATTTCGTCTTCCAAAGTTATAAGATTGATAATTGATATTGAAAGTAGTTGTTAATCATGTTAAAAATTATTGCAAAAGAAATAAAATTAAAATACTTTGTATTAAAATAGACTAAAATATAATATTTATGCAGTTTTTTTAAAAACAGAATGTATATTTTAAAATAAAAGAGAAAAAATAATATAATATAAGATCTTTGTAAGAGGTGATCGTACTCGTGTTTTAAGGTTTGGCTAAGGAGTACCTTTAGGATATTGATTAAGAAATTAGAAATAAAAAATACAAAAAGTCATGTTAAAATATATTAATATTATTTAAAAAAGAAATAGTTTTTTTATTTTTTATTTTTAGTTTTGGGTGAAAAATTGTTGATTTAGTTAAGATAGATGTTAGCAAATTTAAATAACAAAATTGTAAACAGAGAAAACGTTGGTTTAAACTAAAATAGTAAAAAAGAAAAAGGTAAAGTAAATAGTCAATTTTGTTATAACTTATAACTAAATGATGATATGTTTGAAATTTTCTTCCCTTGGTGCTATGCGCTAGTGGGATTAAATTTTGCTAGGTTGGTTTTATTAGGTCATTTGAAATAGTCCTTTGCAAAGAAAGATAACTCAACACCAGCTCTTCCAATCATGCATCAAGATCGGGAATAGTTCAATCTATTCACAATTTTCTAAGAAAAGAATCATAGCTAACACACCTGTTAAGAGTTTGAACGCTCAGGACCCAGTAAAAAAATAAACTTAGCAATACCATTAATATTGCTTTTAAGATTTAGCAGTGTCAATAATGCTAAATATAACATTCAGGGATGGGAGACAGAAAGTTTTCAAACTGAGTTAAATTCTGAGCCACTCACAAATTAATTTCAATCTGTATATGACGCGTTTCTAACAATACTAAATTTAATTAAGGCTTTATCATTCATCAAACAATGCATTAAGGAAGCCATATCAAGTCATAACCAAAATCACAAGTTCCCTCCTCACAAACCTACATTTCATTCTTTAAATGCGAAGAAAGTTATGTTGATGATAATCTTCCTAATATCAGTTAAAATGTTATTTTTTAATTATATGTATAATTTAAATGTTAGGAAAGGAATTTTTGAACCCAAGTCTTAAATCAATTAGCCTTTCACTAAAATCATGACATAAGGGTATTTTTGATGAGATACGTAAATTAAATTTTAACTTATTTAGATAATTTAAAGCGATACTCTTGATTACATTGGAATTTATATATTTACTATCTTAATTTCTTTACTTTTATAATGTTCAAAAATTTGGTATTGGTGATTGTTTTTTCTCATTTGAATGTTTTTCTAAAACAAAAATAAAGAGAACTGCCAAATAAATGGTAATAATTGTGAGAGAAGCAAGGACTATTATAATAGTAAAAAATTGTTCCGTATTTGGGATTAGATAAGATTATATAAATCCATTAAATAATTAAGATCGATAGAAATTAATTGGGTGCCAACCTTTAAGAAACTAATTAATTTTATATGGATGAGACCATTAACACGTTAAATTATTTATTTATTTATTTATACAGTCAATGAGTACTCATAATTTAATATAAAGTAAATTGATTTAATTTGTAAAAAAATATATAGCAGTAATTATGAGGGTGAATAACTGGAAGGAATTTATGTAAGGTAATGACAAAAAGGTAGAAGTGAAATAGTTGGAAGGGCATACAGAGGAAAAATACCACGTGGGAGTGGTGCATTGTGTGTAAAGTTGTGAGACATTTCCATAATCCAAAAATACGAATAAGAAATTGAAATTTAATTTATAGAGTGATGTATGTAAGTATGTGCCTAAAATAATAATATTCATGGGGCTTAGAAAAATGTTAGGAAAATATGGAGGAAAAAGAGGTGGTGAAGGAAGCAAAGCTAGCGAGAGACGCATGGGTCATATACAAACAATTCCAGCGGCAGCGGTAGCGGCAGAAACCTGCATACCCCAACAACAACAACAATACATCACCCATTTACCAACGCCTCTTCTATTCACACACAATCCCATGCACTCACGCACTTTCTCTCTCTCTCTCTCTCACGCCTTTTCTTATTAAATTATACTCATTTACTATCATTGTTAATTACTAATTATTCTTCTTTTTTTATTTGAGAAAATTATTTTCGGGGGAAGTATTTAAATAATAAGGGTGGTAAGGAAGAATAAGAATAAGCAAGAGGAGACTAGTTCTTAAGAAAAGGCAAGTCGAAGCCAAGAAGAAGAGAAGGAAGGGAAAAGAGAAAGAAAGAGGGAGCAGAATAAGGTGTCTCTCTTGGACTGATTCGCTTCCATCGCATCTATCTCTTCCCCCCCATATCTACTACTCTCTCATCTATTCATTCTCTCTCTCTCTCTCTCTCTCTCTCTCTCTCACCCGCACACAACAACATCAAAGGCAAATCCAGAACATTAAAGACTAGTGCTGTCTTCATAATTCGTTGATGGCCGTTCAAGCTCAATACCCATCCAATGTCCTCTTTCTAAACAGGTTCGCCACTCATTCATTTCTCTTATTCTCCTCTGCTATGCATGTTGTTGTTCAATTCATAGTAATGTTCCGTCTCCATCAACAGAAACGGGCAAGAAGGGCATGACTATTCATTGCAACCTCAACCCGGAGGAGGTCTCCTGAATCAGTCTCACATGTTATACAACGACAATGGAAGTATGTTCCAATAACCCCTTCTCTTTCATTATTTTTCTATATGCATAGATTATTGAGAGCATTTCATAATTTATATTTTATGACATCCAGGTAATAGTAATAATAATAATAATTGTCGCAAGAGAGGGAGAGAAGAGATTGGACACACAGTAACAACAACAGGCATAGGCTCTAATGTTAATCCATTCTCTTTGCAATCTCAGCCTCCACAGCTTATACACCTCTCTCAACTCCATAATCACCAACAAAATGCTGTCTCCACTGGCCTATGCTTGTCCTTCGATGACCAACAACAACAACAACAACAAACACTACAACTTCATCATCATCAACAACAACATGCCTCTCACTCCTCTGCTTTCCTTTCTCTATTGTCCCAAGGCTTCTCTTCCCAATTCAAACAACAACGATACGAAATTGATCAATTACTTCAAGCTCAGGTACCAATTTTTATTCCTTTATGATTCCAATCCAATTGCTCAAAAATATGAACAAAGGTGAAATGAAGAAAATATCAAAATATTCTTTTAAAAACACTGTTTTTAAATATGTTTTTGTGTTTTTTTCGTTAGAAATGCTAGTTTTTTAATGGAGGTTGTGTGGGGATGTTATCAGGGAGAGCAACTGCGGCGGACATTGGCAGAGAAGAGGCAAAGGCATTACCGGGCGCTGCTGAGCGCGGCGGAGGAGGCGGTGGCCCGGCGGCTGAGGGAGAAGGAAGCCGAAGTGGAGAAAGCCACCCGCAAGAACGCGGAATTAGAAGCACGCGCGGCCCAGCTGAGCGTGGAGGCGCAGGTGTGGCAGGCCAAGGCCCGAGCCCAAGAGGCGACGGCGGCGTCCCTCCAGGCCCAATTGCAGCAGACCATAATGTGCCACGGCGGCGAGGACGGCGGCGGTGGCGTGTCCTGCGCCGTGGAGGGGCAGGCGGAGGACGCCGAGTCGGCCTACGTTGACCCTGAGCGCGTGGTGGCCGCGGCGGCGCGTCCGAAATGCAGAGGGTGCGGGAAGCGCGTGGCTTCGGTTGTGGTATTTCCGTGTCGGCACTTATGCATCTGTACAGAATGCGATGCGCATTTCCGAGCATGCCCCGTTTGTCTCACCCTTAAGATTAAAACCGTCGAAGTCCTTCTCTCTTAACCATTCCCTTTTGCTGAATTACCCCCCTCCTTGTCCATATCACTGCCTTCCAAACAGGCCCTTAAAAAAATTTTATAAAAGAAAATATAAATAAATTTATTACATTTTTGTTTCACTTTTGAATTTTCATGTCGAAGGGAAGTTTGATTTGAGTAGATTTTACCTTCGGTCGATGTACATGGCCACGTGGGTAGCAGTGGCATTTAATTTTTATTTTTATTTTTTGGTTATCTCTCTTTCTTCTGGAAATTCTATTGCATTGATATAATATTGATATATATATATATATATATATATTCTTTCATTCGATGAATGCCTTCCAATTTTTTAAAATGTCAATGGTCTAAATCTGATGGAGTTATGAGAAGGTCTGTTGATGTGGCGTGTTTGTGAGTGATGTTTGGTTTCGCCAGTGTAGGATTGTGGTGTTGCGTGTTAATTTTAGGTTTGAATTTTCTTTTTTTAATTTAATTGCATGAAGGGCATGGCTCAGGTAAGAATGATTTTTCAGATGTCAATTTGAGGGGTAATGTGTATGCGTGCATATGCAGGTAACATTTTTTAACTTGCAAGGCATAAGGCATTACAATTCTACGGAAATGTTTTTTGTTTAATTCAAATTGCAAGGTGCGGAGTAGATGCGTTAGTCATAGAAAATGGTTACATTAAATTATTTTGAAACTCACTCTAAATATTCCCATGTTTCCCACTCCGGTAGGAAGGAATGGTGCCATGGTACATTGTAAATTTGTTTCCTAAGCCTTTTCGGTGCTTTTTCTTTCCCTTCTTTCTGTTGAGGATTCCGTGCGGAATTTACATTGTGTGTGGTAACCAGCATTCCCTCCATTATATCACACTAGTTGTTTTTCAATACGAGATTCCTTTTTTTTTATTTCTTATAAGATATCTCCAAATTAGGTTACCAAATGTCGTTTCGTAGAAGCATGAGCTATAGAATTCAATGTTCATTCCAAGATTCATGTTTGAGATTGTTTACAATAATTTTTTTGTCAATCGACACTCTCATACCAAATGTGTCACTTTATTTGCAATCATACTATAAGGGATATGATAGATTGTTACCCACATCAGAGCATTATGAGTCTTCATGTTATAAGTGCAAAACGATAAATGGTATGGTATGGTATGGTAGCAAGAATTGAAGAGAAGGGTTAACAAAGAAAACGAATCGACATAAAAATGTTGATAGAAAACTATATTAACAATAATTAAATACAAGTTTGAATAAACATTGACGTGCGTCATAGATAAATTACAGGAATTAAACAGAATTTGAAAAAACGGAAAAGTGTTAATATTTACTTTTAAACATTTTTTATATCGTCCATGTATATTTTTCTAATTTGTTCTTTAAAAAAATTAAGGTATTTGTTTTGTAAATTTATTTTAAAAAAATACTTTTATTAGAAATTTGTTAAAGATGTATTAAAAAATATATTGGTAGCACTGTTCAACTATTAAATGTGCAAAAAAAAAAAGCAATAAATAATAACTCTATACGAAGGTGTGAGGTCTTTAATTTTTAAAAAAATATTTTTTTATTTTTAATTAAAAATATGTTATCTTATTTTTATTTTATTTTTTATCTTTAAATATTTGTAAAAAAAAAAAGAGTTGAATTTAAAAGGGTAGTTTTAATATTTTTGGTACAAATTAACATTTAATGGAATTAAAGAATCATGCAAGAAATATAAATGAATTTAAATTGTATTAAACATAAAGTAAATTGCAAGAAACATAGAAGGGTAATATTGGATGTTTTGAGAGGGTTCAGCCTTGATTACAACTAAAGAACTAGTATTCATAAAGACATCTAGAAACTTCCAAAGTTCTAAACAAATTAATATAAGATGAAATTCAGAACACATGAATAACAGACACTAAAAAATTACTTGAGAGTGGTCGGTTTCTCTAATGGCTCATTTTTCATGTGCTTACATTGTGGTAACCACCCCCTAATAAGCACATTGCTAAGCCAACGATCTTGTTTCTTATCTAAACATCTTTTAATATTTCCTTGATCCTCATCCAAAAGCTAAATTAATAACTTTCAGCCTTTTGATTGTTACATTAGATCTAAGTTCCTATCCAAAAACATGTTGCTTGTTGTTTTTCCGCATATTTTTGAAAAAAAAATATTAATAAGGGAAAATATTAATATGTATCTTAAGAAAAATAAAAAATAATAATTTAAATGTATAGATAGTGTAAAGATTATTTACGTTAACATTCATTCATGAATTATTATTCTACCATAAATTTCTATAATAATTAATATAAAAATTACATCAACAATGTATTCTAATTAATTAACAGTGTTTTTATACACCAAATTAAATTCAAATAAACAAGTATTTAAAAGTATTCAATCCAAAAAATATTTTATCACATTAAAAATACACAAGTAAATGGAGTCACATTAATAAACTCCTTAAAAATAAAAATAAAAAGTTTCTTGAATACATAATATTATTTTAATTTCTTAAATAGTAAATATTAAATAGTTTTTGTATTATAAATATAATAAAAAATTACTTTTACCTTTTTTAGCATTTACGAAAATAAGTTAATAATCACTTTTAAAAATAAATTTAAAGGATTTAACATGATGGATTAAATATTATTTAACTTATATATTCTCAGGATACTCGTTAATGTGACCTTTAAGAAAAAAGTAAAATTACATTTTTTTATCAGAATTTTTTAATATTTTTTAAATAAAGTATTTAAATAAAATAAATATATTTAATGTCTTATGATAGTTTCCTATCATTATTGAAGTAATGTTATGTTATTTTACGATATTCTCTTAATAATCGTCTTAATACTTAAATAATGGATATTAAATATTTTTAAAACAAAAGTTCAATTTTTTTTCTTTAAGTAGGAAGACTAATAAATAAAATAAAATTAAAGTAGTGTAATAATTGTTAGTATGACAAGACAGTTTCTACACTAGGTTATATATGAATTTAATGAGAAAAAATGAACAACTTAATAATTCAAAATTATTGAATGCTGGTTGTACTTGCAAATAATTGTACCATATATCTTTTTCATTATACATGAGCTGAAATAAATGAGGGAAAAAAAATTAACCGACAAAGAAAATAGGAAAAGGTGGATGAGAGTTTTAATGGAATTTTCTTCTTGTAAAAGAGTTTGGTAACAAGTTATAATATTAATATTTTAAATATTTTTTACAATATAAAATAATTATTCAATTATTAGTTTGTATCATTATTTTACTATTTACTAAATATATTTGGTAAAACTTTATATAAAATAATGTAGCAATAAAAAAATCTTTGAAAATGAGTAGTGACACTAGCAGATTTAATTTAAATATTTATTTTTTATTTTGCTAAGGATGCATGCCAAAAATGAAACATAATAACAATTATGAGATGTAGCAGCAACAAAGCCCAACTGCACATAACGTTGCTAACTTACATAAACAAGCTTAAAAGGCCCATTTGGATGTGGAGAAACGTCAATCTCATAATCTTCTCTTCCAAGACCCATTTTCATTGTTGCTTTTCTTTCCAAATCTCTTTTGAAAGAAAAGCCTCAAAACTTCACCATACGAGATATGTATATGATTTTGACTATTCCAAAGAATTATTGCACAAATCAAGCGCGCATGTATTAAATTTCTTGCCAGAAGTTACATAGAAAATATGTATATAAGATTATAAGTATCATGTACTTGCACGTTTGTAGAGACTTGCCCACAAGCTTGATGCCCCTTTGTCTTCTTCCGTGCTTCTTCCGAAACCCAGTTTTCAATTAAAGCAAATTTCTGATTTTGCACACAAATATAGGCATCAGGATTCAGATGTGCATTGACCCTTGAAACTGAAGCAGCCTAATAATCCTTTTTAAGTTCACCAAGACACTGCCAACACAGGCAGTTCAATTGATTTCCGAGAAAGAAAGATAGCCCTTCGTCTTTGTGCCACCACTCTCTAAATTACATTATATTATTTATGATCTTTTTAACATGTATTTGGAGTGTATAGTAAAACTAATAAAGTATTACAAAATCTAATGTAATGATAATATTAAATGTTATAATTTTTAGTTGTTTAACATGTATGGATTCTTGGGTAGACTTTAAAAATTGTATATTATTTATTATTTACTATTCTCCGTATATGAAGTGAATTCATGCATAGTTGATAGTCAGTGGAAAGAAAACAAAATAGTCCCTCTTTCCAACTTCCAAGAAACTAGCTTTAAGAAAAATAAAGGAAAAAAGAGGAAGGACAAATTGAAAAAATAAAAGGCTACTGGTTGTCCTGTATCAAGGAAAATGAAAGCATCATGAAGAAAATATAGACCAAACAAACAAGGAATTGGACAAGACCCAAGGCATCATCATCTGATGTGAAGTCTTCGCCATGAAGTTCAATTATCAAAGTGGTGGAACTCAATTCAAAGCCAAACTGATAACAATTTAGCCAAAATCAGGACTATCAATCAAGTGAGACAAGCAACGGGGAGAAACAGAGGAATCACTATTATTAAAAGACTTGGAATACAATAAATGCATGTTTGGCTTCTCCTTTGAATAGATTCATTTCAAACCCCACTTTTTCCCAAACAATAATTTTCAATTTTCAATTAGGAAACCAAATAAGCATATCCAATTTCTTTTATTCTATTACACCTATTTTAACTACTCATCCTTTGTGGTTGTGGCACTGACTATACATATATAAAAGAGCATGCATTACAATCAGATTGTCCCCTCATGTGAACTTACCCAACTTTGTCTACGCTGTTGTTATCTATATTCTATGTATTCTCTGACTTTTATATTGGAAAAAAAAATTCACATTGAAATAGAAAATAGGGTAACAAAATATGGGGTAAAAAGTACAATAAGAGCTATGCATTTTTGTGAGAGTAACATGTAAAATTGTTGGTCATGGGTAAAAAGGTTTGCAGGTCAAACAAGTTTGAGCTGTCACGGATGGATGAAGGTCACGCTAGAGTGCTATAATTTCATTCAAGGACGATCATGACTCGCTTTTGCAAAGTTGTGCTCTTGAAATTGATGATTGCTTTCAAATCTGAACCGTATTAAACATTTCTTAAGGAAAAGGTTTATTAATTTCGCTCCCTAATTAGATTCTTCCTCTGGGTTGGTGAATGAATGGCACACTTGAGCTTATCCAGAACGTGGCATAGAAAGGAACTCGTACATGAATGAAAAATTATAGTAAACCCGTCACAAGCTTTCTATGTGACCAACTAATTA